AGATTATTTAGTCATGCTTTTTCCATAAAGTTCTACAATAAATGTATAATTTTTTAAAACTTATTAGTTATTTTTTCAAAAATAGGCTCATACAATAATTTAATGTGTGGTTACTTCAGTGGCTTTTGATTATTGAGACTAAGGATTTCATGCATGTAACAATGTAGGTTGTAACCTTTCACAATATCATTTGAGTGAAGTTAATGTATAAAGAAAATCAGATAGTATGTGTGTAACTCAGTTGATCATTTTATGCAGACAACCTCCTTCCAAATGATGTTTACAGTTTTATCGGTAAGTAAACTGTTTAACTCAAGTATTAAGTAGGCATTAGAAAATATATGTATTATAGAATTATAATACATTTTCTTTTTATTTTAGTTGAATGTCATGGACAACAATGAAGTATAAGTACCTATATTAACATAAATAGGTACCTACTAAAATAAATTAAAATAACAACACAATAATAAATTATAGATAATTATTGATATTTGAATAAATGTTCAAAATGATTACCATCCATATTCAAACAAAGAGATAACCGTTTAGTCACTTCACTAGTTGTAGCTTTTTTTAATACTGATGAAGGTATTTTATTACATATTTCTTCAATTCAACAATTTTCAAATTCTTTTCAAATCATTGATATTATTTGACTCCTCTTTATAAACTTCGCCTTTTAAAAATCACCAAAAATAAAAATCCGTAATTATAGATAAAATATAAGCTGTAGTCTATGAAGTACTCACTATCAGGATAAAACATAAACTGTAGTCTATGAAGTACTCACTATCAGGATAAAATATAAACTGTAGTCTATGAAGTACTCACTACCAGTACTACATATAAAGTATTAAAACTTTTATAATTTTAAATCAAATACAAATATTATATATTTTGCTGAATAGTTCATATATGTATATTTTTTTTATTCAATTTACAATTTTGGATATACTATAGCAACATAATTAATTACACTTTGAATAATATTTTTAACAGGTTAATATTAATAATTGTTATCATTTACAATTTAAAATTGAATATTAGTGTAGTATAGGTGTAGCATAGTAAAATGCACTTACAATTTATAATCAAACTTTAGTACAATATAAAAAATCTACCATAAATTGCTTCAATAGTTGTAACATATCTGTTTGCACAAGCTCGCTTTGAAAATTCACATAAATGTATTCATAATTTAAATAATACTTATATACTTCTAAATAAATATTGTACTAATAAACTGAAATAGTTATAAACCTATTTATTTCAATGTCATGAACAGAGTTTGAGACAAGCATTTACTTATTTAATTGGTTTGATATAAAATCTGGTATAGGTCAGATTTTAGATATTAAATTTAATGCTTGATTAAAATTGAACATTAAGAATAATATTACATTTCGAAAGTTGTTTCAAAGCAAAGTGAAATTCATTAGATAGGTTTAGTATTTATATCATTAGGTATTCTAACTTTAAATGTATAAAGCCATTTTAATTAACAAAATGTGTTAAATTGTTTCAATAATTGATGACACTACAGAATTACAGAAAATTTTTTGATAAGTAACTAAAATTATGATAATATTTTAGTTAAATAATCTTAAAATATATATTTCTTCACATCTTAGTCATAGTATTTTTTAAATAAACTACTTTACATTTTTCTACACAATAATATACATAATAATATATTGTATACTTCAACAAACACATAATATGTTACTTTTAAGTTTATATTTTTCCAGCAGCCAATTAAGGCACCTACTTGGATTTATTAACTTGAATGTTGGTAATGGTAATTTGTTTATCAATTTATTAATAAGTCTTCAATATATCATTTTTGACTTGCAGACACAATGTCATGGTAGAGGTCTAATGATAATTAATTTAAAATAATAAATAATAATGTGATTTACATTATTACCATTTACCACATCAAATTAACCAAGCTTAAAAATTGTATAAGTAATGAATGATGTATTAGCAAATTGAATACAATAAATACGGTATGTATGTACAATACTCTGTATGTATATTATAGAGAAAGAAATATAAAGCACTTATAGACATTAAAATCAAAGAAAAGTAAGGCTCATTTTCACATCAATAAAATAAATTGAAGGTACATTTAGTAAGTAACACAATTAAAAGATGATTTTTAACTGATTTCATTAAATTAAAAAGTAATAATTATATTTAAAATGACTACAATTTCAGTACCTAATAGTGGTTTAGTTATAAATGTTAGAATTCCTAATTCCATTTTTACTCGAGATTAACAGTAGGTACTTTCTACTTTCAACTATCCACTGATAAATCATTGAAAATTATGAATAGAATATTAATATTTTTGGAATGATAATACAAATGGGTATCTTGGTGAATTGCAAATAATGTTCACAGAAAAAAAGCACAAAAACATGAAAATTATTTAAATAATTGATCTACTATGGATATTATATACTTATAAATATAATAAGCAATAAAATAATAAGAAACAAAAAAAATCAAATATATTTCCATATGTTATGGAATAAAAACTGTTATGTTATAAAAACTAAAATTACATTTAAAACAAATCTAAAGAATATAATATTACCTTATGTATTATATAACGAAACATTGGTAATCATCTTTGAAATGCAAGTAATTGGAATAGAAATTAACCATCTGGTAAGCTTCTCTCAAACTATGAACAACTCAGTGGCGTACTTAGAGGGGGTGCAGGAGGTGCATTGCACCAGGGCCCTTAGCTGTTTTTTATAAATGGGGCCCTGGAGCCTCTATTCAACAAATAGCGACTGAATACTGAAACTTTTATTTTTTTATCATGTAAGTTTTTAGTTGACTAAATAATGTTAATATAAATAAAAAGTAGCAGTGTCGTCAAATATTTTTGTACTGCGTTCGAGCGGCACCGACAAGTGACAACGTCAAAACAGCTGTATTGATATTATCATTGATTATAAATACAGATATTAAATTTACAATAACATTGCTCGAGCATATTGGGCTATTTTTGGAGGTGACAACACTACCACTGGACGGTGCTTGCACGCGTGTGTGTGTTGACTGGTTTTATCCACGGAAATAATGCATAATGCTCTATTATAGACATAGAGTATATTATTCTATGATTGTAGACTACGCGTTTCTTATCGTGACTCGTGAGCTGTCATGTTGATTGTCACTTATTATCTTAATTCTTGCCATTTTAGTACGTGGTAGTGTGGTACTATTTATTTTTTATTTTTAATATTGTGAATTGTGAGCTGTGACCATGTCTAAAAGAGTTCCTAGTGGCTGTGAAAAACGAAAAAAGAAAAAAGAAGAACAAGAGAAAATCTTAAAACTACCCAAAATAAACAGTTTTTTTTCTAGTGCCGTTCCTTATGAAGAAAATACCATTAACAGTAATTTTACACAACCAAATACAAAGCCTACTGCATTAAATGATACAACTTTAAACATAATTGAATCCTTCACAACTGAACCAGAACATAGTTCATCGAAAGGTACAAATTAAATTAAATATTTTGGTTTTTTTTTAAATAAAACAATTTTTTATTATTAACAACAATTTTTTATTTTATTTTAAATTTCATTATATTTATCATACATTTTTATTTTATTAAACAAAATTTATAAACTATAATGTTTAATAGGTAATTTTGTGACTTCTATTTTTTGACATTTTGTTGACCTCAATTGAAATATTTTTCAAAAATATTTAAAAATATGTATAGATTTAGATATTACATTATTTATTTATAATAATATTATATAATATGTAGATTGGTTTTGGTCCTTTTTTTTCACTAACAATTAAGTTTAAGGAAAAATGAATTTCTATAAATTACTAAAAATCTGTAAATTTAATTATTATTGTAGTGATTTCAAATGTAGAGCCTAGTATAACTTTGAATGACACAACCTCAGACAAGTCAGATATCATTGAAACCTTCACTCCTGAACCAGCTCTTAGTTCATCTACAGGTACCTACAAATTAAATTTTTAACATTTTTAATGATGTGGTTAAATTTTAATATAATTGGCTTTTGAGCAGTACCTAAGAATTATCTATTATGTAAATCAAACTAATTTTTAGTTAAACAAATTTCTATCAGTATTTTTTCATTAGGTATTGTTCATAGACTTGGATTTAACCTGCCGTTATCCTTCCGATCGTGGTAAATTTAGTGACAAAGTTTTGGATGCCCAAACAAAAAGGCTAATTATGTCATTTGGACCATGTAAACCCGATATTAACTTCCCTCGTAATGATTCAAATATGAAATTCTCAATTGAGTATTATTTTATGAACACGAAATCAGGTTTTAAAATTTCTCGAACTTGGCTGTGTTATTCCATTATATTGGACATGGTATATTGTGAAACGTGTTGGCTTTTTGCCGACCGTCTTAACAAAAATTTTTATTCTAATTGGGTTGATGGAGTAAATGATTGGCAACATCTTGCCCAAAAGATATCAAAACATGAATCATCTACTCAGCATATTGAAGCCGTACAAGTAAGAAGCTTATGGAATAAAAATAAAATTATTGATGAACAGCTCGAACGATAAATTTCTGAAGAAGCAGATTTTTGGCGCAATGTTTTAGAACGAATAATAAAAATAATACTTTTTTTAACTACCGGTAATACTGCCCTTCGAGGGAAAGAAGGAAAATTTGGTGATTGTAATAAATTTGCTGAAGGCAACTTTTTAAGGACCGTTAGATTACTTGCTGACTATGATCCAGTTTTGAATAAATTAATAAGTAATGACAAAGACTGTGTAAAATATCTTAGCCACACTATTGTTAATGAATTAATTGAAATATTGTCTTCCGAAATTGTTAAAAAAATTTGCGATGAAATTAGAACTAGTCAATATTTTTCTTTAATAATGGATTCAACCCATGATTTGACTAAAGTAGACCAATTAAGTATTATAATTAGATACGTAAAAGTTAATTACGAAGAACACAAATTTGAAATAAAAGAGTCTTTTATTGGTTTTTATGAACTCAAGCACTATACTGCAAAAGATTACGAACATCTTATTCGAAAAATTATAATAAAACTTAATTTAGATATCACAAAATGCCGGGGACAAGGATATGACGGAGCATCAGTAATGAGTGGTAAACATAATGGTGTACAGACAAGAGTTAAATATATTGTACCCTCTGCTACATTTGTGCATTGCTGTTCTCATAACCTAAACTTAGTTATATCTGATGCGGCAAAAAGTCACCAAAAAATAATTAATTTTTTTGATACGGTTCAAGCAATATTCAATTTTTTCAGTAGTAGTGGACCAAGATGGGCTTTGTTGGCTTTCAAAAGTGATATTTCTAATAAAATTCGAGCTAAATTTTTGAAAAAAGTCTGCCCCACTAGGTGGGAGGCACGTCATGATGCTGTGTTTGCACTAAAAACTAGATTTGTTGATGTTCTAAAAGTTTTGACTCAAATTGTTCTTATAAGTTCTAAAACAAATGAAAAAAATTTGGCTGTGGGATTAAAAAAGCAAATTGAAAATAGGGAATTTGTTTTAATACTATGCTTATGGGAACCCATACTTCGAGCCCTTCAAGGTATTTCAAAACCATTACAGAATGTTAATATTACTTTTGACCAAGCGTCTAATATGCTTCGAAATGCTGTACAAACGACTCAAAAGCTCAGAAACAGTTTTGAAGATATTTTAAAAAATGCGAATGAATTATGTTTAAAATGGGGAATATCTACTTCATTTTTTAATAAACGAAACATTTTTGCAAAGAAACATTATGATGAGTTAGATGGTGACTATCGACTAAATGTCACAGAAGAAAACTTTAAAGTGAATATTTTTTTTGCCAACAATTGATACAGTATTATCACAACTTATTTCACGGTTTGAAGGTACTCATGATGTTGCTGATTCATTTGGATTTTTAACTCCAACCACTCTTTTAAAACTTAACGATAGCGATATAATAAAATCTTCATATGATTTTGTATTGAAGTATGAAAATGATATTACATCGGATTTCGCACGTCAACTTATTGCATTGAAAACAGTAATTATCAATAGTGAGATAAAGACTATAAAAGATTTAGCACAATTTATCATCAGGGGCGTCATTTAGGGGGGGGCAGGGTGTGCAACGGCACCACTAACTTAAAAAATGTTACCGACTGGCTCGCCATTAATACTTCAATGCGCCATTAAAATTAACTTATACATCATGTTTTCATAATTTTCATTTTAATATAAATAAAATAATATTTTAAGTTTTTGTTTATTTTTGGTTTATCAGTTCTCTTATCAAATTTATACAACGCAAGCACGATTTAAGATAATTACAATATAAATTCACTGAGATAGATAAGTATATTCTTATCTATCTCAGCGGTCCGTGATAAATACAAATATAAAAATTACTATTTGATAAGGTAAATGATATCTGACTAGTCGGTGCCTCCATAGATTATCCATGTATCGTTTAATCTTATAATCTATGGTTCCTCCATGCGCTTGTCAACCACTCGTTGTGGAAACCGTTGTAACGTGTCTAACCGTATTTCGTTTCGTGTGCGAACGTTTTTTGGTATAATTGTGCAATAACAAATTAGAAAATGGATAAAAAGAAAAGAAAAGGCGGCGCTGCTCGTCTGCGTGAAAGCAAAAAAAAAATGCTACTTGTAGCCGGTTCTTCCTGTCATAGTTTAGTCAGTATGTTTAAGAAAGCCGAATTTAATCAGATGGAAATAACTGTGAGTGTTAATAACTGTTATTGTTAATTATTAGTTTTTAATAAAAATATAAATTAACAATTATTTATGTTATTTTCATAGGAATCTGATAATTCTAATTGTGATGCAGGGGTAGATGCTAAAACTCAAATTATTGAGCCTAATGATGAATTAAATGTGTCCAATGATAATGTCAGTATGAAATTAAATAACACAACCCAAAATGTTAGTAAATAATAATATTACCTACTTATAAATTTAATGTGATTGATTTTAATTTAATAATATGAACGCACCTACCTATATAGTAATTTATGATGTAACTTGTGTACCTAGGAATTTAAAGACTTGCAATCTTCTAGTCAAACTGTATTAAATACAAGTACAAATTATATGATTGATAATATTGAGCCTGTTGATGAATTAAATGTGTCCAATGATAATTTCAGTATTAAATCAAATAACATTACTCAAGATGTTAGTAAATAATTATATCACTTTTAAATTTAATATGGTTAATTTTCCTACCTATGTAGAAATATTTAAAGACTCATTATATTTTATCTATCTAATATTTATTAAATGCACTTTTTTAGGTTTCTGATATATCACATACAAAGTATGAAGATCCAGTACAGCCAAATCTATGTATTTATCCCAGGAATAGTGTAAATAGATCATTTAATTCTAAGTATTATAAAATCTATAATTGGATTGAATATTCCATTAAAAATGATATGGTGTTTTGCTTTATATGTCGACACTTCACTGTGAATAATAATTTAAAAGTTGATAGTACATTCATAAATAAAGGTTTTAACTGTTGGAGGAAACAGACCGAGTCGTTTAATAAACACATGAGTAGTGAAAAACATAAATTAAACAATGAAAAATATGTAATGTTTTTAAATATAAAAAAGAATGATACCTCTGTTGCAAATTCACTTATTACATCCCGAAAAAAATATATTGAAGATAATCGTAAACATATTATTTTATTGTTAAAAGCCACACTATTTTTATCAAAACAAGGCCTTCCCTTCAGGGGACATGATGAATCTAATGAGTCAACCAATCGTGGAAATTTTATTGAGTTGCTAAATACGTTTACTGATCCTGAAACTATAACTAAATTATCTGCTAGATATGGTCACTATACTTCTCCGGAATACCAAAATGATTTGATCAAGACTATAGCTTCTAGTACTATGAAAAATATTATTGAAAAAATTGCTTTCACTGGAGCTTATTCCATACTTGTTGATGAAACGAAAGACGCAAGCAAAAAGGAGCAGTTATCATTCATTATTAGATTTGTTGATGACAACTTAAATATCCATGAAAAAGCAATTGGTTGCTATCATATGAAGAAATGTGATGCCTATACTTTAAGTCAAGAAATTCTTAATATTGCTGCCCATAATAAGTTAGATATACAAAAATGTGTAGCACAGTGTTATGACGGGGCATCAGTTATGAGTGGACTATTTTCAGGAGTTCAAAAAAGAATAGTAGATATTGTGCCACATGCTATCTATATTCACTGCCATGCTCACCGTCTTAACTTATGTTTGGTGAATACAATTCAAAATAATAATATTGTAGTTGATTTTTTTGACACAGTTCAATCACTGTATAAATATTTAATGAATGGGCATACACGATATGAGTTATTTATGAAAATTCAAAGAGACAAGAAACTAAAAGAAATACATTTAGAACGTCTGGTAGAAACTCGGTGGTCCTATTGGCATTCATCTCTTAAAAAAATTCAAATACGGTATAGTGAAATTAAAGATGTATTAAAAGTATTAACAGTTCAAGATGATCAAGCAGCCAGAGCTATAGGTTTACTTGAAGAAATATCAACTTTTCGGTTTATTTTAATTTTGTATATTATGGAACAAATTTTGAGCACTATTCATTGTGTATCATGTCAACTTCAATGTTCTACAATTTTATTACCTAAAGCTATAAATTTAGTAAATTCAACAAAAAATCAACTAATAAATCTACGGTCTGAAGAAAATTTTACATATATTTATAATGAAGCAAAAATATGTGCTATAAAGAACCAAGTAACCATAGAAAAAGAAGAAGAAAGAAATATTCGCCTCAGAAAAAAATATGAACCATCAAAAAAATTTGAAGACTTTTTTATAATGAGTACTTTAGGTCAAACAGGAACTAAGCAAGCAAAACATAATGGGAAAAATGTAAAAACTGATGTTTTGTTCAATGTCATAGATAGGTAAAAACTTAAAATTTAAAAATCATCTATGTGCAGCGTTGGAAAGTATTTATTTTATAAAATTTTTAAATATAATAACTACTGGCTAATCGCTAATTGCACTTGCTTTCATAAGTATAATATATTTATTTTAATACATTTTAGTAACATTAAAGTATTAAACTTGAATAATTCAGTCATTTGCAAATCAGTAACATCTGCTTTGCTTAAAAATAATTATTTAGTGTAAAGTTATTTCAAATATTTTAATATTTTTTCAAGTATTATTAGTACTATTTATTATTTTAGAATATAACTCAAGTTCACTGTTTAAAAAATATTTAATTAGTATACAATTTGGTTAATTCTAAATAATATGCTTTGCTTGTTAGTTATAAATTATAATTATTTTCAGGTTTGTTTTGCAACTGGACGAGAGATTTTCCCAACAAGCTACAGATTTTTTTAAGTTATTTGAAGTTTTTGACAGTTCTAACAATAATTTTTTCAATCCTAATAGTCCATATATATCATCATTTATAAATCATTATAGTTATTTTCAATTTAACAAAATTAAAATTGATTCAGAATTTCCGTCCGCTAAAACGTTATTAACTAATAAAAACAATATAGATTTAGATACTATAACATTATGTCTTAAAGATTATCCCGAAGCATTTAACGAAACTTTAAAAATTATTTCTATAATAAAAACACTACCAATATCCACTGCTTCAAATGAAAGATTTTTTTCATCTCTCAAAAGAGTAAAAACATACTTACGAACCACCATGGGCGACAATAGATTAAATGATCTAATGGTTATTGCAGTTGAGAAGGAAGAAGCAAGTAATATTGATTTGCAAGAGGCTGTAAATGCTTTTGCACACATTAAAACCCGCAGATATCCGCTAATTTAAATTTAAAAATAATTTATATTTTTATATTTTGTATTAATGATTTTTAATTTTGGAATTAAAGTGTATTTCATAATACCTTATTTGACTTTTTTTCAAATAATAGTGAAATAGCTTTAGCTGCTTGCTTTTATTGTTTATAAGCTTTTAATTCTTTAAATTGCTAGCTATTTAAAATTTGCATTAGTCGTTATAAGTAATTTCAATTAGAATTATAAAAGGGAAGAAAAAAATATTTACATAGGTTTGCATGGGTTACCTATATGTATGTATATACATTTTTTTTTTTAATGGCCTGGTGAAATGTCAAAATTGGCCTGCCTAAAAGTTCGCACACCCGGAAAAAAAACTGAAATGACGCCCCTTTTTATCATAAGTAATAGTTTGCCTAGCAGTTTTCCTGATATTTTGAGTGCTTGTATCATATTTATGTGTATACCAGTTACAGTGGCATCCGCCGAACGCTCCTTCTCAAAGCTCAAATTGATAAAAAACTACTTGAGAAACACCTGCAATCAAGATCGCCTAAGCAGTTTAGCAGTATTAAACATAGAGCGAGAGCAAACAATATCGCAAACAATATCACCATCGAAAAAATTATCAACGATTTTGCAAATGCCAAGTCAAGACGGAAAAATTTCTTGATATAATTTAATTTAAAGCCTTAAAGGTTAAAGTATTTATGTCACTTAAGTGTATTTATAAAGAAATTAATTTGTTACATTGTTTTATTTTATATAGTTAGTAGGTATTGTCTTTAGCTAGTGTTCTACGCAGTATTTTATAGTTTTTGTTTTATGCTTAAGCTTAACTATTATTTTTTAAAAACATTGAAATTAAATATTTTAAATTGAATCTCCTCAATGTTCCTTAAAATAAAACATGTAACTCAACAACATGTAAATGTAACTCCTTTGTCTCATTATTGTGCCAGTTGTGCCACATATAGTTTTGGAAACATTTTGTGGAGGTCACTTTTTTAGCGAAAGCTAAACTAAAAATTGACCTTCCTAAATTTTTGTTTGTGTCTTATAAAATGCATCTATGATAAGGGGCCCGAAAAATTAGCTGCACCCCCGTACTTAAACACATAGATACGCCACTGGGAGCATTATAATTACACTGTGTCTAGAGCGCCGGGCGCCCGGACATGTAATAGAGTACCTGGCGCCCGGCTACACTGTAGAGCGCCGGGCGCCCGGATATATTAAAGAGTACCGGGCGCTCGATTACACTGTACCGGGTCACACTGTAAATTACCTGTTGAGTATCACACCGAACTGCATTGGGCGCGTAATTTAAATATTTAATAATAGATTTTTATTAGGAAAACTTTAATTGTTTATTTGGCTTTTACCTACCTTTATATCCTTTCCATTGTATAACCCGATGATAAGTATAAAGCTGTACTAACCTATAAAAGTTAATTGCACTAACCTTGTACAAGTTATTCAGTGTTCATCAGTTATTCAGTGTTCATCAGTTATTTTTCAGTGTTTAAAGTAAATTATCTGTTATATATATAATTATTATGAAGCTCCAAGATAGCTATAAATCATTTGAAGAGTTCGAGAGCAGCTTTAGGGTCTACAAAGACGTGAATTTTGTAGATTTCTTTATAAAAGACTGCCAGACATTAACCTCCATTAACGCGAAATTTCCAAATGGCAGAATGATGACAGCATCCAGTGACTTAAAATATTATTATATTAAATTTTGTTGTGTGCATGGAGGATGCTACAAAAAAAAAAAAACCCTTGACCAACGTTCTACATCGTGAGTACATTTATTTTATTTATTTATTTATTACTAAGTTGTAAAATTCAAGATTTAAAATATTAAAATGTTTGAAGTACAATGCGCCAAGGCTGTGATGATGGCATTTACCTGAAGGCATCAGATGATGGAAAATCTCTAGTCATCACAAAGATGACTGAGGACCACAACCATGAGGTTTCCAAGATACTGTATGATCATCTCCCTAACCAAAGGAAAATAACCCCCGAAAATAAGGCCACCGTATTGGAGCTTATGGACCTCAAAGCAAATAAAAAAATTATTCAACATAAAATAATGAACGAAAGTGGGAAGATTGTTACTTTAAAAGACTTATCAAATATTCATACTACAGGCAGTAAGAAAAAATTATAATTTAATTTAGTGGTTTTCTTAAGAATTTGATATTAATATTATGATATTATAATATTACTATAACTATTTTATTTTTTAAAGGAAATAATGATTCAAAGAACAATTTAGTGGAGGTTGTTAATAAATTAAAGACCAAATTTAATTGTATTGTTGAAATATCAACAGATGAGTCAAATAACCTCAATGGTGTTTTTATACAGGACAGATTCATGACTGAATCGTTTGAAGCATTTCCTGAAGTAATATGTTTTATTTAAATTTTAAAACACTACAAAATTATATAATATCCAGTATATACTAAAAATTTCCAATGTTTCTAAAGGTAGTTTTTGCAGATGCTACTTACAAACTGCTCGACTTAAGATTGCCAGTATATGTGTTAATGACGGAGGATGGCAACGGACAGAGTGAAATTGCAGCAATTGGCTTATTAGTGAACGAGGAAGAAGTTACCTTGCGCTGGTTTTGTATGTATTAACTTACTGTTTATTATTATATAACTATCGGTTTCGTATAGCTGATTACTGTGATTTATTATTTTATTATAATTGTATGTATTAACTAATAAAAAAATAATAACTAATACCTAACTAATAACTAATAACTTACTATAACAAAATTAAAGTTATAGAACAATGTATTTCTATTTTCTTCGTATTATTATTGTTCTGTGGTATTATCATATTTTCATATTTACAGTGTGACCCGGCGCTCTAGACACAGCGTTATAATTATTAGATGATATAGGTAAGCTTGTTTTGTATTTCACTTGCCAACGAACGGAAATTATGTTTTCGACGTCCGTCGCGAACAATCCGCACCGGACTCGCAGTGAGCGCATAGCCAATGCAAATTATTGAGTAATAATATTATAATACAACGCGGAACATCAGTATACAACAATTAGGTATACACGCTCTTAATGCGAAATAATGTTTCCGCCGGATATTCGTCGCGCGATAACAGGACACGACGTATTATTACAATGTTAAATGCCATGGTAGAAAACAATGCAAAAAAAAAATAGAAAATATCAGTTCTTTTGAGACACTATGTACCTACTGTTGTTGTGAAGAAATTTATATGTCATTTTGAAATTCCCTATTCCGACAACTCCTCGTAAGGCGACTTGTGAATAATACACAAAGGTACCCTCCCTGAGGAATTTAACAATAAATAAACTTTATTTTCTATCTTAGCTGCAAAATCATTACCTATGTGATGTTATAATGAATTATACTGTCTATAGTGTTCTGTACCATCATTCGTAGCTGTAGCATATTGTTTTCTATTTCTTTATTAGGTTTATAAAAGAAGACAAATAGGTAACCCAGTTTTGTAGTATAAGTAAATAAAATTCTATTTTTGCTATTCTAATAACCAGGGCTCGTAAGTTCATGCATCTGCCTGTTTTTTCTGCTACACGGGAAAACATGCTAACTGAGATACAAATCCGTTTCATAACAGTAGTAATAATAATATAAAGTTTAATAGTGCATGTTTTTGCATATTTTGGGTGTTAGGGCATATTTGGCATATAGTCGATTTTTTAGTTGATAGCGCATATTATTTCATAAAAAAATTTTTTAGACAAATATTTGAAAAGTTTCTTGTTTCTTATTTACTTTCCCGTTTACAAAACGATAGTATTTTTATTTATATTTATTCTCCTGTGACTACAGTATCCTAGCTATATAGTACATACCTATTTAAATTATATGCGTTTTACTTAGTACCGCGGAAACAATGTTATAGCAACGTATCGCATGCACCCCTTACTTCAGCAGATGTAGAAAGATCTTTTTCTATACTCAAAAACGTATTGGTAGTCAATCACCGATCTTTTAAGTTGTAAAACATAAAAAAAACGCTAATAATACAATGTAATTTCTTAAGTAAATATAATTTTTATAAATATTATACTAATATATCTCAAAATGAAATACCTAATATTAAATTCCAAATGTTTTTATTGTAGGTGCAGAATAATGGTGTACAAAAATTATATAACAACACAAAAGTATTATAACTTCACAAGTATTCATTTTTTTTTTTTTACTAATTTTGTTTAATAAATGTATAAAAATTAAAATTAATAAAACACTAAATTAATGGATATATTCTTATTATTTTAAAATTTGCTTATGGTTTTTTTACATAATGCATATTTTAAAAATGTTAGGGCATATAAATGCATATTTTCGAACTTTTTAGTGCATATTTTGCTAATTTTTAGGGCATAAATGATGCATGCTTATTTATGCATTTTTTAATGCATGAACTTACGAGCCCTGCTAATAACTACCAATTGTTCGCTAAAATATTTTTTATCATTTACAAATCGATTACCATACAAATATGTTTAATAAAACTGATCTATTAACGTAATTTTATTGATTAAGCTGGGGTTTTGAGTGATAAATGGTTGTGTGTCTTTGTTTACGTAGTCTTTAAAATATTTGTAACCGTTTGTATTACTTTTTCTTTCAAAATAATATTTTGTGTCAGTAGGCAGTAGGCTCAGTAGGAAATGTGATGACATAGGTAAGACACGTAGTTCGAATATTAGATAAGTTCGTCCAGCACATTAAGGCATTTGCATGTAGAACATATAACTATTGGGAAGTTTACGATGAAATGAAAGACAGTATCAGTCAGTCAAAACCAAAACAAAATATTGTTGAAGTTATAATTTATACACTTTAATTATGTCCATAATACAATTTTTATTTTTATTTTAATAAGTACAATTTTTAAAAACAAGATCAAGGTAAACATTTTTAATATTTAATTTCTAAAAGTTTAAAATATATTTTATAAAATTAATTAATATTGTACATATTTTGTAAACGAAGTTTCTCCAACAGGTTATTATTTTTTTTTTTTTTTTTTTTGGGGGGGGGGGGATTTTGTTTTCGATGTTTAAAATTCTACAAGAATAAATACATTACACTATGTCGTTGAAAATTGAATTTATTAACATTTTGGCAAAGAGAGTGCTGGGGAAACGTTTAATTTTAATATTATTGTTGTAAATGTGCATTTAAAATATTATGTTTCATTATAATTTAAATTCAGTTTAGTTGAATACATCTGTTGCAGAGATGTTTGGCCTGCAAATTTTTAAATATTTAATTTTGCATTGTTTTTACATAATAGTATATATATACCAAATAGGTTTCTTCATCCATACTTAAATTATTTTCACTTTATAGATTGACATGCAAATACTGTGATATTTTCAGAAACTGTTCTTTTTTAAGAGGACGCTACACACACACGTATGTGTTGTCTCTGTCTTACAAATGTACAATATACCAAAAACTGTTTTTCTCGGGATAGAACCATTCAGTCTGTGTAGTCCTAGTAGAAACATCAAAAGTTAACACAATATCGAAGAAAATATTTTCTGTGTCTAAAGATTTTTAATTGTTTGATGTCATTAATAGGAAAAAAATTATTTTTAAAAATCTGATATTTTAATGTTTTTCAAAATTAAATAACTTTTGATATATTGGTCTTCTCGAAAAAAAAAAAAGCTACGACATAGTTAAAGTTCTCCTCCATTCGTGGTGAACATTTAGTTTCTGAGTTACAACTGTAGCATTCTCGGTTCTTTCCTTTGTGAAATATGTTTTGCTTTGTTGTACATTTGTCAGACGTACACAACACATGCAGGTGTAGCGTCGTCTTAAGATTTCTTATTTTTTATCATCACTGATGCAATAGCTGCTAAAGCTAAATAAGTAGGTACACGGTGCGTGAAACAGAAGCCATAATAGTTAATTAAGTAGAAAACAGGGGTGTAACCGCTAAAGGTTATCGGAAAACTACTGAAGAGCAGCGTGCGGTCAATTTCAATGTGCGAATAAAACGGCTCGTGTAGGAAGAACAAAAAACAACGAAAAAAATATGTAGTGTATGTGGTTCTCTGGTGTACGTACAAAATAGTTCAAACAACACCAAACATTGTTCAAGGATGAATAAAACCGTATTGTATGACTAGCTTGAAGTTATATAAAAAAAATCGAAAACCCGTATGTTTTGTATAAATATGCTTTTCCGATGCTGGAAAATTTAAGCAAATAACACGGTTTAATTGAAAATTCCAAAATAGTCATAATTTGAATGTAAACGATTAAAAATGGGGTGGTTATAATTTAATTCACCTTAGTGTAATGTATATGTTATATTACTCTGTGAAAGGGGAGGGGGGGGAGAACTGAGAAATAAAACCAGTCGTTTTCGTCGCGGGAGCACCCACGGCTTATTTACGGTTTCAAAATTAAAAGAAATATAATATAAAACAAACGGTACGAACCAATGGCGAATATTATTATTATATTAACTTAATTTACGATCATACTCTATTATATTATACTATAATTCGTTGTATCGTTGTATGTTTATTATTACAATTTACGACTCGCTGTAGCGTGCATAATATCGCAACGACCACGAAACCACGGCTACAGCTGATGTTCGCAGAATAAATTGCTCGGTCGTTGCAGGTGCTGGGCGATCTGCGGTTAAGCGGAACTTTGCACCCCTCGCCAGTGCCCTGCCAGTTTGTTACATTTACTTGCACCAATATTATAATAATATTACGGTGTTCTGTAGTCTGTGCAAATAATTCTATTGTCATTAACCATTAGATAATACTGAAGAGTCTGTGCGACCATCTGTGTGGTATATACCTATCTGTGTATGCGTTATATTTATAAGAACATTCAATATGTATATATATAATTGACAGACATGCGCATTACTGAATCATCCAAAATTAAAAAAACAATATTATTAAGTCATAATTAAAAACCGGATTTTGCATAAATTTCATGTTGCTATTTTCAACATTATATACATGTAGTCAATGAGTGTCCACAAATCATTACTAGATTGATAAAATATCAAAATGTTATAGTGCATATTTTTGCATAATCTGACGTTAGTGCATGTTTTGCATATTTTTTCATATTTTAACAAAAACCCGTACAAATATACACCTAACGATCTAAAAAGGTGTTGAGCATAAAAAAAAACAGATTATAGGTACGTTTATAGAATATTAATACCAAATATTTTACATCTCAAAGAATATTCGAAAGCTATAGGTTAGGTTATTGTTTTTCCAATTAACATACTGCTAAATTGTTCGTACTTTTTTCTTTACTTCTCTGTATCTACAGAGTGAGTAAACTTGATTTCCCATATACTTTAGGTTCACACAAGAAAAAGAGAAAACACCGTAGCCTATCCTGTTGAGTATAATACATGATATTTTATGTAATAGTTATGATGTGGAGCTCACGAAAAAGCGCAACACAATTTTCACACAACTAACCGCGCGGTGGTATTGCATATACCACCGTTATATACATATACAATATTTAGATTTTACAGGGTCCTCGTCCCTCGGGGTTTTTACTTGTATCTATTATGTATCTTTTGTATATATATATAGTAGCGTGTAATGCG